CAGGCATATCTTACTCCTTAAAGGGACATCTTTGCTTTTTAACTTGTCATAGAGCTCTTTTGGGCAAATTTGCCTAATGTTTGATTTCTTGACTACTATATTTCCATAGGTGTTAACTATGGATCCAAGTAAAATAAAATCCTTCTCAATATTAATCTGTTCTCCTTTTATCAAAATATTACTTAACGGTCCATTTGTTATGATTTATGTTAGATAATTTCTAATCCATGCTGCAGACTATATTTTATTTCATTTTCATCCGTAAGTACTTCAAATCCTCTTTGCTGTCAGTGAACAAGGTTGGGGTTATCTAATTTATGTATCCAAGTTGTTAATGAATTTTCCCCTCCAATCTTAATGCTGACTTATTCTTCATATAGTCCAGTTTCTCTGATAATTTCCACAGCATACAGATTAAGTATGGCAAAAGGATATATTACCAACACAGTTTTTCTGATTTTAGACTCTTTGGTACCTGTTTGTTCTGTTTCAATGAATGCCTCTTCATCCACGGACAAGTTCTGCATGAGCATATTAAGTGTTCAGCAATTCCCATTCTTTGCCATGTTTTCCATAGTCTGTTATAATCCATCCAGATGAATACTTTTGCGCAGTTAATGACACACAGGTAAACATCTTTCGAGTATTCTCTACTTTTGGCCAAGATCCACCTGATATCAGAAATGATATCCATCATTCTGAGTCTTCTTTTTAATACAGCCTAAATTTCACTGAATTTAAACATCAACTTTGGAAGAATTACCAGCTTAACAAGATTGAAACTTCAAATCTCTGAACATGGAGCGTCTCTTCATTTATTTTTTTTCTCTAATTTTTTTAGTTCTCAGTGTATACATTTCTTAAACTTTAAAGTTATTCATAATAATCTTCGTTATTCTGAAACTTTGCTTTAGTTTCATACTTATATGTTTATTGCTCTGCTGTTGTTAGGTGCCAGGGGTCAGTTCTGACTAATAGCGACTCTATGTACAACCGAATGAAACACTGCCCAGTCCTGTGGCATTCCCACCAGTGTTATGTTTGAACCCATTTTGCAGCCACTGTGTGAATTCGTCTTGTAAAGGGTCTTCCTCTTTTCCCCTGCTCCTCCTACTTTACCTTTTTCCAGAGACTGGTCTTTCCTGATAACATGTCCAAAGTAAGTGAGACTGTCTTGCCACACTTGCTTCCAAGGAGCATTCTTGGTGTACTTCTTCCTGAAAAATGTGTTATTTTGGCAATCAATCGTACTTTCAATATTCTTCTCCAGGACCATAATTCAAATGCATTGATTCTTTTTCCATCTTACTTACCCAATGTCCAACTTTCACATGATATATGAGGTGATTGGAAAATACTATGATGTAGTCAGATGTATTTTAATCCTCAAAGTAGCATCCTTGCTTTTCATCACACTGAAGAGATTTTGTGCAGATTTACCTAGTACAATGTTGTATTTTATCTCTTGACTGCTTCTTTCATGAGCATTGATTGTGGATCCAAGCAAGATGATAGCAGTGACTTTAATCTTTTCTTAGTTTATCACGACGCTACTTACCTATTAGTCCAGTTGCGGGAATTTTGGTTTTCTTCACATTGAGTTGTAATCTATACTGAAGGCGGCAACCCTTAATCTTCCTTAGTAGGCACTTCAAAGTCCTCCACACATTCAGTAAACAAGGTTCTGTCATCTGTATATTGCAGGTTAATAAGACTTCCTCCAATCTTGTTGCTGCATTCTTCTTCATATAGTCCAGATTCTCTGATGATATGCTCAGCATACAAACTGAGTAAATATGGTGAGAGGATACAACCCTGATGCAACGTTCCTTGATTTATTCCCCTTTTCTATACTCACAATTAACTCTTGATGCACATACAGGTTCCACATGAGCACAATAAAGTGTTTTTGAATCCCCATTCTTCTCAAGGCTACCGTAGTTCATTGCTTGCACATTCTTAATTTCTCCTTAAGGAAATATGATGATTCTCCAGATTAGATTAAATTCCCTCATATATCACAAATAATTCTATGCTTTTCCTTAATACTATTTAAATATGCAATTATTTTAATTAAGTGATGTTTTTCAAAAAATATTTTCTGATGTAATGTTGTTGGTTTTTTTTTAAAGATAATTTTATTGGAGGCTCTTACAGCTCTTGTAGCAATCCATACATCAATTGTATCAAGTAGATTTGTACATATGTTGTCATCATCATTTCTAAACATTTACTTTCTTTCTTTTTTTTTTTTAATTGGCTATTTGTATAGTTTATTTAGTAAAATATCTATTCAACCCTCTGCCCACTTAAAATTGGGTCATTTGTCTTTTTTTTTATTAATCAATTTATTGGGGCTCATACAATTCATCACAATACATAGATCAATTGTGTAAAGCACATCTATACATTTGTTGCCCTCATCATTCCCAAAATTCTCTTGCCTCTTGGGTTTCCGGAATCCGCTCATTTTCCTCCCCCCTTCCCCTTCCCTTCTTCCTCCCCTTTCCTCCATGCACCCTTAATAATTTATAAGTTATTATTGTATCTTATATTACACTGTCCGGCGCCTCCCTTCACCCACCCTGCTGCTGCCCGTCCCCCAGAGAGGAGGCCATATGTGGCTCCCTGTGATCCATTCCCCCTTACTACCTCCCCTTTCCCTCCTGGTATCGCCACCGTCACCCCCGGTCCTGAGAGGTTCTTCCGCCCTAGATTCCCTGCGCTTCCAATTCCCATCTGTACCGCTGTGCATCATCTGGTCTAACCAGGTCTGCAAGGCGAAACTGGGGTCCTGGTAGTTGGGGGGAGGAAGCATTTAAGAACTAGAGGAAGGTTGTGAGTTTCATTATTGCTATACTGTACCCTAAGTGACTCATCTCCCCACTACCCCTCTGCAAGGTATGTCCAGTTGTCTAGAGATGGGCACTGGGTCTCCATCGCACGCCACCCTCATTGACAAGGATATGACTTTTCTCCCCGCCTTTGGTGTTTAAAGCCTGGTCCCTTTGGCCCTTCATGATCACACTTGTTGGTGTGCTGCTTCCATGTGGGCTTTGTTGCTTCTGGGCTAGATGGCCGCTTGTTTACTTTCAAGCCTTTAAGTCCCCAGACGCTATAGGTCTCGAAAGCCGGGCACCATCAGCCTTCTTCACCACACTTACTTATGCACACATTCATCTTCAGCGTTTATGCGTGGAAGGTGGTCACACAGTGATAGTTTTTGTTATTTGGTGTCTGCTGCCTGTTCCCTTCAGCACGTCGTGTTCGCACAGGCTCGTGTGCTTCTTCTCTGTGGGATGATGTAATGTTAAGGAAGGATCATGGTAGACCAAGGGTGTTAGATGCCAAGAGAGTCTTCAAACAAAAAGTTTTTATTCAGGGGAAATAAAATAAAAGACAATGGACATTTCATAAGTATTTCCATTTATAAGTGATTTAAAATTTCATGAAACTTCTAAATATGAATCCTTAGTGGCCTAATTTCTTCTCATTTGAAAACACTTAAAGTCATACAAAAGGACATGTGCTTTTTATATTAAACAAGTAGTTTTTAAATCACAAAAGCATCAAGGTTAACCTTTGTCTATTATTTCATAATCTTTTTCTGCAATAAAATTACTTTTGCCAAATGCTCTAGTTTTTCATCTGTAAATTGATGCATCTTGATGTAAGTTGCTAACAATAGTTTTGGACAGTAAAATCCTAAACGCAGCAGCAACAATAACAAAAACATCCTAAATGCTTCTTTTTAAATTGGTACTTGGTAAACCTTCCAAATCTATTATAACCAGGCACAGAAACAAATGCATCTTTAGAACATATATATTTTGATTAAGAAAAATGTTCGTCAAATTTTCTTCAATGTGTATTTTATGTATTATAAGGAGCTTCAAAAGTTAATTTAAAAATTCCATTATCTTTCAATTCCAGTTTTCCATGAACTTTTTGATGCTTCCTCATATTGTTTGTCACTCCTAGCTAAAAGCTTAAGAACTATTTGTAACATATAAGAATAAGGAAATTAATATATAGTCAGAGAAGGATAATGAGTAATACGCAATTCTCTGGTGTCCCTGAGTAGACTTGAACCTCCAACCTTTCAGACAGTGGCTTAGTTCATTAAGCATTTGTATCACTCAAGGGCTTGGGGAAAAGGCCTAACAATCTACCTCTAAAAATGAGTCATTGAAACTTTATGGCAGACATTTTTTCTCACATATACATACAGTTGCCATAGGTCAGAATCAACTCCACAAAAACCGCTCCCAAGTCATGCTTCATCCTGGTCTCTAATCCACAAAGCCTGGCTTCTGACCTATCTCCCTCTGACCACAATCCAAGACCTCTAACCCTTCTGCTGAGTCAAATAACAGAAAAACAAAATAAAAAATTTTACATTCCCAATGTATTCTCCTAATATTCCCTGAGAACACAGCTTTCTGTCCACTCTTCTTAAAATGGTGAATGTGTTCTACACATCCCTCCCACCAGTGTGTCATTAGTATCCATTAACTGTGAGTATGCACATTTCTAGTCATTTTATTTCTAGAAATATGCCCAACAAGAATCAGTAAACATGGGATAAAACAACAAATTTGTCATTGAGATCTTAATTCTTTATCATCACAGTAAAAAACTGGAAACCATTAAGAGTGAAATGTGTAAATGAATTATGGCATTTTCATATAATCATATATGCACAGCAGTGACAAAGAATGAATGCAAAACAACAGAGAATACCAAACATTTACTAAGCTAAAAGCCTGTTCAAAAGATTCCATCTAATGATGAACTAAAGAATTTTATGGTAAGAGGATGACATGCCTATCAAACTGTAATTTAAAAAAAAGATCACATCTAAATGATGCTCAGAGAGGAAAAGCTACCATAGTGACAGAAGTCAAAACTGCGATTACTTTCCCAACAGAGAGCTGGCTGAAACCTTCTGGAGAGCGAGTGTGGTTTAAATTTTTATCTGGCAATAGTTACAGAGGTATATGTATTTATTAAAATGTGTTCAACTGCACATTAATATTTATATGATTTAGCACATGCTATACACCATAGTTTATTACTAGATTACATTCTGCCCTAGAGAAACTTTAGAATCAAATGATATTTGAGGCTAAAAGTGACAATTTAAACATAAAGGTGACAAAAAAAGTTAATTATGGACATACTTACCAAAAAAGAATTTGATTGCCACTGTATCTTTCATAGCGTACTCTTGTAGACATCAATCTAACATAATAAAAAAAGTTTGTTAAAATTATCTAACTTAAATTGTTTCAAAAATTGTTACCTCAATTGACTATTAAGACATGCTAACTACAAGGGTTTAAAAACATACATAAAATGCAATATTTTCAAAATGGCAATTAGGTAATGCAGTTGTTAATTAATAACAACTATAATACTATGATGTACATTATTTTTAAAAAATAAAACAAAACTACTCCCATCAAGTTGATTCAGACTCATGGCGACCCTATATAAGGTTTTAAGGCAGGAAACCTTTATTGGAACAAAAAGCCAGCCTCATCTGTCTTCTGAGCAATTAGTAGGTCTGAACCACTGACCTTGCTGTTAACAACAGCACTACCAGAGCATTTGTATGCATGTTACACGTAATAAATATCATCTGTATTATAGATTATCAAATGACATTGGGTAATGTTCTCTTACTATGGAAATGTATAATTTTAAATTTGTCTTGTTCGCTTTTGAATCGTTAGTGTGAAGAAAAGTAATTAGTAGAGGTAAACACACACTTAAGAATCTGCTGAATAAATTTGCTTGCATTTAGGAATACTTATAGTAAAAAGAAAATCTTTTCCCATATTTGAATTAGTATATTAAATTCTCTAGTTTCCAGTTTTAATTTCTATACTTGTTTAACATACACTGACAATAAATGATGTTTTTATTATGCTCAAGAAATCAGAAAAAAATACATCTCAATTATATTTTAACAATCTATTGCAAAAGCAGAAACTTAAAAAGACCAGGAGAAAAATGATGGGTGAGCTGATCATGGAAGAAAAACATGTCTAAACTAATGTCTTAAACCATTCCAAAATAAATCCCAATAATGTCAGATTAGCAAGGCAGATACTCCATTTTACAGAACAGAAATAAAAGCAGATTTTAGTCCTACAAGTCTTCTGCTATACCAAGGGTCCTGCTCTTTCTACTCTAACATAATATACCTATACCCATCCTAAGCAGTTGACTTAATAAGCATCAACATAAAATGCAAAAAGAAAATAGTCTTGTTTTTTACATGTACTTAATAACACATTAGCATGTATATTACAACATTTGTATCGTTTAGATCAGCTATCTCAATTAATTCTCACATTGTAAAAAATACACCGTCATTCATATTTTATGGAGCACAAAACTGAGGCCTAAATTTTAATACCTGATCAAGGTTCCATGGCTAAAAAATCCTGGGACAGGAAAGGCAAATTCCTTTTCCTACTATTACAAAGCTCACTGTCATCAGGTCATTACAGACTCCTCGTGGCTCTTTAAGGACAGGGTAAAACAGCCTTTGTGAGTTTCCAAGACTATAACTCTTTATGAGAGTAGTAAGCCCGTCTTTCTTCTTCTACTGAGCAGTTGATGTTTTGAACTGCTGTCCTTGCAGTTAGCAGCCCAATACATAACCATTATGCCACCAGGGCTCCCACTTAAAAAAAAAAAACTCCTAAGCAATTTGGTTCCTGTGACTTCTTATCCAAATTTAGCTTCCACCACTCTACAACCTCTAATTCTCCCTATTCTCCAGCCACAAACCCCTCTCTCTTTTTTGGAGGGGTGGCGTGGGGAGAGGCGGGAATGGTTAGTTCTTCTCTATCATTTAGGTCTCTGTCAAAAGTAAATTCCTGTAAGAAGGCTTTATTGGCAATCCAAATTCAAATACTCATTTAGTTTATTTTACATCACCATACTTGAGATATTAGACAATTTTTAATGGCAGTATCCCCTCCACCCCAATTTCACAATCACTACCACCAGAATATAAACTCCAGGAAACTAGGGATCAAATGTATATGCACCCCAAGCACTTGAAACATCATGAGGAATATAAAAAGTGCTCAGTCAATATTTGTTGGATGACAGGCTAAATAACTCCAGAGTGCACGTACACAGTACAACACTTACCTAAGCTGATGTTCCCTGAGATTAGATAATATCTCCATTCCATGAAGATAAGAATAAATAGTATTTAAGTCCTGTGGGACAGAAAAGTTTTAAGTTATTTTTCAAATCAACATTTTAAAATACAATTATATTTTAAAAATCTGATTTTAAACAATCATTATCATAGAGCAGTAACTGAAATCATAAAATCTTGGCATTACAAAAGTCAGAAAATAATTCCACCTCATACATGAACAACACTGCTCATGGCAGCTAATCAAGCATTTATTTCCAAGACTCCAACATTTCATATGCAAGCCAATTCAATTTTTAGACATATCCTATTTTTTTCTCTTCAAACATTCCTAAATATTTGAAAACAGTTACCACATTTGTCATTTAAGTCCCATTTTGTTCTGTTACACATTTTTAGTATTTATAGACTGCTCAGCATCCTGGCTTAGTTTTCTGGGAGTGAGTGACTCAGTTTGTCAAATTTTTCCTTAAAATATGATTCTGTATGGAGCTAAACTATATGATTCACCACTAAACATGAGTCTCTAAGTGATATCAACAGCAAAACACTAAATGACTAGCCAAAGTTGATGGTTCAAATCCACCCAGACATAACTCAAAGGACAGGCTCGATGACCTGTTTTGCAAAGACAATAGCCTTCACAAAAACTTCTGAATGGGTGATGGAGCTATGAACTGTGGACTTCATGTAGCATGAGTAGCCTAAAGTGAGAATATATAGATCCCAAAGTACTGGTCAAAGGCCTGGGTGTTTAACCAGAAGCTTAGAAGGGAAAAGATTGAAAGATCGGGGACAAGGAATTCTGGGGTAGAGACAGGAGAGTGGACAGAAAGTGTTCATTTTTTAAAAATTGCACATTAATGCCCATCCAAACGTATCAATCATTGAAAATGTATTGTATTGCAAATGTGCTTTACACATTGATGTATGTATGGATTGTGATAAGAGTTGTATGAGCCCCTAATAAAGTGATTTTTTTTAAAAAGAAAAGAAAATGTATTGTATTCACTGCCCAGGTGAAAACCCACAAACTGGGTAGTTTATAAGAATAGAAATGTATGGTTACAGGATTACGTGTGGTATTGCAGTTACTAGAGGTCAGAAGTCCAAATCAACATGTTGGTTGTTGAGTCATACACCCTCTAAATACTTCAGATGATTCTTCCTGATCTCTCTGATGGCGTCCTTCTGGTCAGTCTTGCTCTCTTCTATTGCAAGAGCACTACTCAGATTAGATTAGAACCTACACTATTCAAGTATGACCTCAGGTTAACTCAAACATCTTCGAAGACTTTATTTCCAAATAAGGTCACACTCACAGGTACAAAAGGGGTCGACTTTAATATACTGACATAGTTCAGACCATAACAGACAACGAACAACCTTAAAGACAAAATGACTTGGCCAGTTAATGTTACAAAGACTTTGTCAATGGAGACTTCAGATTGCCACAAGAAGCACAAGAATAGTACAAAAAGAATACAGAGGTTACACATAGGCCCAACAGAATAAACTCCCACATACCAAAGTCTGGCAACGCATAAAACTGCTAATCACAAGGTCAGCCATTCAAAACCACCAGCTTCTTTGAGGAAGAAAGATGAGGCTTTCTACTCATCAAGATTTACAGTCTCAGAAGTCCACAGGGTGGTTCTATTGTGTCTTATAAGGTTGCTATAGTTGTAATCAACTCAATGATATTTTGGTTTAACAAAGTATATCTGATTATTATTGATGCGTCTGAATGTCCTACTTGTCAGCAACAGAGACCAACATTGGGCCCCTGATATGATTCTATTTCCCAAGGAAACATTAGGGCTTTTCAAAACCAAAAGAATCAGTGCTTCATTCTCACACGGAGAGAGAACTGTTCTGACACTGGATTTTCCTTTCCTGTCTCAGAGCCACTTGTCATACTGTGATGACTTGTACTTTGCTGTGATGCTGACTTATGCCACTGGTAAACTGCGAGTGCCAGGAAGGCCAACCAAAATGAACAGGTTTCTACTGATCTGCCAGACTAAGTAAGACAAGACTGAAAAGAAGGAATAGGCTATTTACTTCAGAAGAATTAGCCACTGAAAACCTTATGGATAGCATCAAAACACTGTCAGAGGCAAATGGTAGAGGGACAGGAGGAAAGAAAAAAGAAATAGAGGAACGAACTGGGAAGTAAAAACCATATACATACATATAAATATAGATATATAGATATATAAATATATAAAGATGAGTATATTTGTTGGTGTGTGTGTGTGTGTGTGTGTGTGTGTGTATGTGTGTGTGTGTGTGACTATAGTAAGGAAGCAGATAGACTTTGGGCCTCTACTTAAATCTTACCTCAATACAAGGATGATTTTTTTCTAATATTATGGCAAGGTATGATACTCACCTTCCCGACACAATTGCTGAAGACAAAATGGGTGCATAAGCAAATGTGGTGAAGAAAGCTGATGGTGCCCAGTTATTAAAAAAAATCAAGCACCTGGAATCTTAAAGGCTTGAAGCTAAAAAAGTGGCCAACTAGCAGGGAAACAACAAAGCCCACATGGAAGAAAGAAGTATACCAATCTGTGTGATCATGAGGTGTCGATGGGAATAGATATCAGAAATTCAAAGACAAGCAATCAGAGTGATGTGAAGGAGAGGGATCAGAATGGAGACCCAAAATCCACCTATAAGATAGTTGGATAGTCCTCACAAAAAGGCCACATGGAACTGATGATATATCGAGGATGCTGTACAGCACTGATGAAACATAACTATTCTCTAGTTCTTTGTGCTTCCTCCCTTCACTATTATGACCCTAGTTTTTCCTTACAAAAATCTTGCTACACCTGTGTATGTACACTTGTACACTCAAGAGCTTTTTTTCTTTTTCTAATTTAAATCATTTTATTGGGGGCTTGTACAGCTCTTAGCAATCCACATATACATCCACTGTGTCAAGCACATATATTGCCATCATCATTTTCAACAATCAAGAGCTTTCAATGTATGAAATCAAAGTGGGATAAACCCCTCAGAAACAGTAATGGAAGTAAGGATTCCCTGAGGGCATGGGAAGAGAGGTGTGAAGGGGAACTGATAGCAATAATGAATATATAAGCCCACTTGAGGGAAATGAGTAACAGAATTATAGGTGAATGGATGCATTGGGTGGTGTAAGATATGAGGGAAAATTATATATATAGGTCTGTTCCCACGCCTAGCCAGTCCTGGGGCTTTGGGGCTCAGCTCAAAGGGAGTCCCTCTGGGACATGGGGGTACAGTGAATGGTATGACCCTTTGCTGGGCATGCCTACACAGTAGGGTATGCTGGGCCCCTCTAGGGTTTCCC